ATAATAATAATAATAATAATAATAATAATAATAATAATAATAATAATGATAATAATGATAATACTAATAACAATAATAATAACCATAATGATGATGATAAAAACAATAATAATTATTATTATTGTGTTAATAATAATTAACCCCGGTATTTAATAATCCAGCCTTCCCCTCTAACTACCATCTTTGGTATTACATCATGCCCTCCTGTGTATCTGCATCGTCGCCTGTTCCTGCTCATGTTTGCTGGCATGGGGGGCTTTTCTTTTCAAATGGAAAGAAACAAAAACTCCAACTTATAGTCACATAAAATTGAGGGGAAAAAATCTGAAACACCAAATCAGAGTGGCTCTGCTGATAAATGTCGTAAAATAAGGAGTTACAGTTGTGCAGATCCTCTCCTCATGTTAAACTGTAATAGCATGCCCTACATTTTTTTGTTTTTTTTCATCCTTAGTCCTGTCTGTTAGTTGAGTTTTTGACATATATATATATATAGTGATATATTTTATAATTGGGAAAATGTGTGTTTGAAAATCGATGTAAATAAAACGACAGTGATCAATTGGAGTTATACTGGTGATAACCGGTGAGTTTCTTTGGTGTACCCGTAGAACATGAGAACTATTGAGTTCTTAACCCCCCCCCAGCTGTAGGAACCCATCCGTGACCCTGGAGCCTTAAATATTCTGGTCAGTGAACGCACCACGGCTCGTCTCTGACCATCTGCTGAGTGGCCTCTCGGGCACAGATGTGCTGTGGAGTGCTGGGGGCCATAAGGCAGACAGAAGCTGGTGCCCCCCCCCCTGTAGCCGTCACACAGAAAGCTCCTTCAGACGTCTATCCCACCCCTCATCAACCAGACCAAGAAGTCTCACCTCACTCCTCTGTTCACTGAGCTTCACTGGTTACCCCCGGTTACCCCTGGTTACCCCCGGTTACCACCTGGGTACCTCTGGTTACCCCTGGCTGCCCACATCAAACCCAGGTCCCTGATGCTGGCCTAAAGTGTTTAAGGGTCCGGATCCCATCTAATTGAATCGTCTTGCAAAGCCTTCGCTTTGGATAAAAGTTTCTAAATGGAGAAACATAAACATAAAAGTCCTCAAAACTGCCTTAAAGCCCCCAAAAAACAGCTTTAAAAGCCTCCCAAAAAGCTTTAAGATGGAGGAAGGAGCTACTACCCTACAGAGCAGCAGGTCCTTGTCTGTCTTCATAAACTCCTCCAGACCCCCCTCTCCACAGAGCAGCTCCTATCCTAACTCCTCTCAGACCTCTGGACCCTCTACTCCTCTTTCTGGGCTTCCCTCTATCTCATACTGTCTCCTCTGACTCTGACTGGGGGTTTTCCTCTAGAGAACTGATTGTCAGACTGACGAGAAGTGGAACATTGGCTCTGCTTTGGATAAAAGCATCTAGATGCAGAAACAGAAACATAAAAGCCCTAAAAACAGTTTTAAAGCCCCCAAAAACTTCTCTAAAAGCAACAAAACAGTTTTAAAAGCCCTCAGAAAACAGCTATAACAGTGACAAAAACAGCTTTAAAACCCCCAAAACAGTTTTAAAGCCCTCAAAAATGTTCTTCCAGAGAGTTTCTTGTCGGATTATGTGACATTGTGTCTACTTTGTGAGTCTATTTGTGAACATGCACCCTCAGCGTGGGCCGCCCCCCAGACCTACCTGTCCTCCGTCTGGGAGACCTCAGGAACTCCTTTGCCTGCCTGGTGAGCTGGGACGCGTTCAGGGGCCGCTGGATAGCGGAGAGGCCTCCACTGAGTGGGCGCCCGGGGGCCAGGCCGGGGGCCTCTGGGGCTGGTTGGAGGGGGGGCTGCTGATTGGCTGCTGGGGGATTGGCTGCTGGGAGGGAGGCCTGGCCGGTGGTCTGGGGGGCCGTCGGGGGCTCTTCGATCTCTTTGCTGGAGCTGCCTGATTGGCTGAGCCATTCTGTGTCCGCCTGTGATTGGATGAGAGGCTCCGCCTCAGTTCCGGGCTGGACTGGGGATTGGCCGGTTGCTCCTGTGGCTGTTTGCGGCTCTTTTGGGGGCCCTGCTCTGGCTTGTGTTGGGGGGGAGGCCGCTGGAGGTGGGAGGGGTCGGGCCGTGGTCGTCACCGATTGGCTGCTTGGCTTCGTCTCACCTGTTGTTCGGCTGGCAGACGCCGTCGGGATTGGCCGAGCTTCTGGTGGGGATGCAGGTTTGCCTGTTGTGCTGCCTGGTGACTGATTGGCTGATGCCGTGGTGCTTCCTGATTGGCTGGCTGGTGCTCTTGTTGGCTGTGATTGGCTGGTCGGCGCTCTGGTTGGCTGGGATTGGCT